TGATCTCATGGTCCGTGAGTTCACGTCCCACATCGGGCTCTGTGCTGTCAGATCGGAGCCTGGAGCCTGCTTCGGATTCTGTGTCTCCCTCTCTCTTTGCCCCTCCCCCGCTCATGCTCTGTCTCTCTCTGTGTCTCCAAAAATGAATAAACATTAAAAAAAAATTTTTTTTTAATCTTCACCAAAAACTTGTGAGGGAGGTATCATTGGTGGACCCAGGCTACAAATGAGGAAACTGATGCTCAGAGAGGGTAGGCCATTTGTCCAGGGCCACACAGCTAATCCAGTGGGGGGTCTGGGATTCAAAACATGGTGAGGAGCGGGAGGGGATAGCAGAACCTGTGATGTGTTCCTCTGTGGGGACGGGGGAGGATGCCTCCAAACGGGCAGGACAGCATGGACTGGGGTCAGTTAACCAATATCCAGTAAGCCCTGTCTGTGTACCAGGTTGAGGGGATTAAGATCAGGAGATCAGAGCACCATGTCATAGCAGAGAAAACAGACAACGGATGAGTAAGCAAGTGAACAAGGTCATTTCAATATAAATATTATGGGAAAACAAACTAGGACAAGGTGACAGAGGGTGACTTGGAGGACGTGGTGGTCAGGATGGTGGCAGAAGGCTTCTCTAAGGAACTGACATGTAAATGAGATCCAGACCATAGGGATACCTGCCTGTGTGGGGACCTGAGAGACGAGCATTTTAGACGAAGGAAGCAGCCAGTGCAAAGGCCCTGAGGCAGGAGTGTACTGGTGTGCCTGAGTAGCATGGAGGAGGCCAGTGTGGCTGAAGTGGAGGGAGCAAGGGGTGAGCGAGGGGAAAGAGGAGGGCAGAGGGCTGCCTGGGAGGAGGATGGGCCTGGAAGGACCAAAGAAACTTCTGGAAAGGACGGAGTGGCTGAAGGGTGAGGGGTCAACTTTGCTGACCACCCACTCCACAACCACCACCCCCCATCTTTTCTCTCTGTTTCTCTCAACTCAGGGATCTACTGGCTTTCCTGGGCCGCTGGGACCCTTAGGAGAAAAAGGGAAGCGGGTGAGTCCGGGGGCCGGGGGAAGGGTAGGGCTTATCTGGGGGAACACGTGCAGCTCTGCACGGCAGCGGGTAGGCCCCCGTAGCTAAGCCTGGAAGCACTTGTCTGCACGCATATTCCCATCTGCGGTGCGGGGCACAGGTAGGTGACCCCACCTCGCGTTACTGTGCGTGAGTCTGCGCGTACGGGTGCCTCTCGGTGTAGATCAGATGGGGTCTGGGTGTTACAACCCGCGGGCCTGCGGTAAACAAGGACATAAGCCTGCATGCACGTGCGTGGCCGTGGACATAAACGTGCGTAGGGGTGTGTGTGTGTGTGTGTGTGTGTGTGTGTGAGAAAGGCTTGTGAAGAAATGTACAGCAGGTGCCTTTCTGGGTCTGTGCCCGGTTGTGTGTGTTTCCTGTCTTTGTGCCATAACTGTCTTCTGCTTCCCTGTCACCTGATTTGTTCTCCAGGGCAAAGCGGGGCAGCCCGGCCTGGAAGGAGAGCGGGGGCCACCAGTAAGAAGAGTGAATGCTCCCCCATCCTGCTGGGCCTTGGGGGGCAGGGCTGCGAGGAGGGGCTGCAAGAGGAGAGGCGGGGGGTGGGGGGGGGGAATCGTGAGCGGGCAGGGCAGAGCGTCTGGGGTCTGGGTTATGTCCGTGTCCCTGGTGGGGCAAGGAGGGGTCACGACGGGAGGCGGCCCAGGCGAGTCGGGCTTGTCTCCTAGATTCCCGCACCCTCTCACTTCTCATCTTTGCTTCTTTGCTACTCAGGGCTCCCGTGGAGAGAGGGGCCAACCGGGTCCCACCGGGCAACCGGGCCCCAAGGTATGGGCTGGGTGGGTGATCGGGCCCTTGTGCGGGCCCCCCCGGCCCGGGCTCCCCCGGCCCTCCCTGTGAGTTTGTCCTGCAGCCTGAATCCCATCCACTCTGTCCTAGGGTGATGTGGGCCAGGACGGGGCCTCTGGGATCCCTGGGGAAAAGGTGAGTGTGTGTGTGTGCGTGTGTGTGTGTGTGTGTTTCGGGATGGCAGACGAACCCAGGAGGTGGTTAGGGTGCAGTGGAAGGAACGCAGCCTCTGAAGTCCGGAGCTGTGAGTTCAAGCCCTAGCTCTGCCACTCAGCTGCTGCGTGACCTTGGGCGAGTCACTCCACCTCTCTGGGCCTCAGTTTCCCCCTCTATAAAATGGGAATAACCACAAAGGGCTGTGGTGACAATTGGAATAATGACTGCGGGTGCGTGTTTGGCCCCCTGCCCGGCGTGCAGAAAGCACTCCACGTGCTCGGTATGTGGGGCTCGGGGGGCAGGAGGGATGAGACCATGGCTTCTGGTTCCATTTCAGGGCCTCCCAGGTCTGCAGGGCCCTCCTGGATTCCCCGGACCAAAAGGTCCCCCTGTAAGTGCGTGCACCCTGGGTGGGGGGGGGGCCCGGAGGGAAGCCAGGGAGTGGGGAGACTCCTTAGTGCCGTCTCATCTCCCTCCCACCCTGCTCCCCAGGGTCCCCAGGGGAAGGACGGGCGTCCCGGGCACCCTGGACAGAGAGGAGAACTGGTGAGTGGCCCCTTGACTTCTGACCCCTCACCCCCTGAGGCTCTCTGGTTCTCTCTCCCATGTGACACCCCTTTAAATTTTTCTCCCCAGGGCTTCCAAGGTCAGACAGGCCCACCTGGACCAGCTGGTGTCGTGGGTCCTCAGGTCAGAAGGGAGCCCACAGGTCTTTCCAGTTTTGCAGATATTTCGGGGAGAGGTGCATCTCAGACAGACCTCCCCGCCCCCCCCCACTGCCCCCGACCCCGGGCGGCCTCCATTCAAGAGAAGCTTCCTTCCTCTCCAGGGAAAGACAGGAGAAGCGGGACCTCTGGGCGAGAGGGGCCCCCCAGGCCCGCCTGGACCTCCAGGTGAACAAGGTCTTCCGGGCCTGGAAGGCAGAGAGGGTGTCAAGGTGAGACCCTACCCCCTAAGAAATCTGGCTGAGTGGCCCCAGAGATTGGCCCCATGCCACCCCAAGGCTCAGAATCAGCTCCGTGGGGGAGGGGCCCAGATTCACAGAGGGGAAAGCACCTCTGCACCTCTCTGGAGGCTGACCTTCCCCCTGCACTCCCGTAGGGAGACCTGGGGCCACCCGGGCCCCTTGGGAAGGAAGGGCCGCCTGGACCCAGGGGCTTCCCCGGCCCCCAAGGAGCCCCTGGTGACCCTGTGAGTATTCTTTGGAACCCCTCCTAAATGTGCCTGGCTGGCCTGTGAAGCAGAGAAGGAAAGGGGGGCTCGGGGGGAGGGACATGGTGATGGCATCCCGGGTGCAGTAAAGGAATCATAGCCGGAGGGACCTAAAGGAGAGAGACCCCTGACCTTCAGTGCCCAGGAGGAAGGTGGGAACTGTGAGCCCCCAGAGTGAAGACAGGACCTGGGCCACACCCTTGGGGGGGTCTCTTGACTGAATCATCTCCTCCCTCAGGGACCTATTGGTTTAAAGGGTGACAAAGGCCCCCTGGGCCCTGTTGGAGCCAATGTAAGTGTAACCCCATCTGCTGGGTAGGGGGCAGTGTGTGTGTGTGGGGGGGCTTGGGGCATCTGGGAAGCTGGGCATCGCTATGATTAAGTCCACTATTTTGGGTGTCACACAGGCCTGGGTCAGCCTCGTGACCTCAGTTTTCTCATCTGTAACACAGCCCCGCCCCACAGACTGTAAATCACAGTGAGATGATCCGTCTGACACATACTTACCTGCATGCCAGACATCAACATATAAAAACCTCCCTTCTCCTGGAGCTTCTGTTCTAGTTGGTGATGAATGACACGGAGAAGGGGGAGTAGGGAGAGAGCAGTTGAAACGGGTTGGTCAAGGAAGGCCCCCTGAGAAGGTGACATTTGAGCTGAGACCTGAAGGAGGTGAAGGAGGAACCATGCGGATATACAGGGGAAGGGTGTTCCAGGCAGAGGGAATAGCATGTGCAAAGGCCCTGTGGTTGGGGTGTGCTAGCATGTTGGAGGAAATGCTCAAGAGGCCTGTGTGACTGGAAAGAAGTGAGGAGGGGTGAGTGGGAGGCGGAGAGGGCAGGAGGTGATGAGGCAACTCGTGCAGAGCCTTGTGGGCTACCAGGAGGACTTCGCATTTTCCCTGAGTAAGGTGGGAGCCGTGGAGGGCTGTGGGCAGAGGGACATGTGTACCCTGACTCAGGTGTCCCTCTGGCCACTGTGCGGAAGGGAACAGATGGATATGACGCTGGTTAACTACCTGCCTCAGTGCCTGGTGGCTTGAAACCCCCTCTATCCATGAGAACTTTTGCTATTTTCCCCACACTTCTCACCCCTGTTTCCAGGGCCCTCCTGGGGAGCGGGGTCCTGTGGGCCCGGCAGGAGGCATGGGGCTTCCTGGCCAAAGTGGAGGCCAAGGCCCTGTTGGCCCTGCAGGCGAGAAGGGGTCCCCGGTAAGTGCCTGCCTGCTACAGTCCTCAAGCATCCTCAGGACCCAGCACCCCCCACATCCCCGGACCTTCACCTCTGCCCTGGCCCCTGACCATCCCCTCTTCCACTCCCCCATCAGGGCGAACGTGGCTCCCCTGGCCCCACCGGCAAAGATGGGATCCCAGGGCCCCCGGGGCTTCCTGGACCGCCGGGAGCTGTTGGGCCTTCTGGCGAGGATGGGGACAAGGTGAGTTCACGGACACAAGAGCTCGTGGAGGAGGGGCTGGGGGGCTCAGGGTAGGGAGAGGCCATGTTGGTCCTCCCTCACCTGTTTCCTCTGCAGGGGGAGGTGGGTGCCCCTGGCAACAAAGGGAGCAAAGGCGATAAAGGGGATGCGGTGAGTGTGGGGCCCAGTGAGGGAGGTGGGCCTGGGGGAAGGCAGAGGGATGTGAAGGATGAGGGGGATAGCTGGGACCCCAGGGGAATGGGAGGGGTGCTGAGATGGCTACCCTCTCCTCTCCCTTTCCTTGGTGGCCATCTCTCTGTCTGTGACTCTGCATGGCCCTGGGGCATCACCTCCCCAGCTTCCCTCTAGGACCTTCAGCCAAAGCGTTGCATCTGCGAGCCAGCTCAGTCCCTGGAGGGACTTCTGGGGAAAAGTCCTAGTGACCCAAGCATTGGACGATGTCTGTATCTGATCCCACTTGTTGGTGGCTAGGACGACAGGACTGTGGGGGAAGCAGCTCTTGCTTCCTGGTGGGGGCAGTGGGAGCAGTGAATGTCATCTTGAGCATGCTCCCAATCTTGAATTTGAGGTGTTTTTGGCTGTGTTCCCTCCCCCAGGGCCCGCCTGGACCAACAGGGGTACGGGGTCCCGTGGGACACCCAGGCTCCCCGGTGAGTGCTCTTGGCTTTGTGGCCATTGCCTGGATCCCAGATGGGAAGGGACAGTGTCCTCCACCATGACCCAGACCCAAACTCAACCCCACCCCTACCCCTCTGTGATGACACCCAACAGGAACTCATCCCAGAGTCTGGCTCAATCCCAACCTCAACCTGAACCCTGAAGGGTATCTCAGTTCCAGTCTCAACCCCACTTATGACCTGAACCTCAATCCCAGCTTAAACTTTATCTTCAAATCTGAGCCTTGACCCAGTCCTACCCTGAAGCCCAACTTTGACCCACCCTCCAGTGCTGACCCCAAACCTGGACCCAAACTTTGAATCTGACTTTGGCCCCAGTGTCAAGCCCGACCCTAAATTTCACCTCCACCTCGTCTGAACACTGCTCATGACCTTGACCTCAACCCACCACCCAATGCCCATCTCACCACTCGCTGCCCATCTGAAAACTTTGACTCAACTCTTGACTTAATTCCCAAACTCTGTACCCTTAACCTGTACCCCCACCTCCAAGCCCAACCCTGACCCTTTCCAAACTTAATCCCAAACCTGACTGCGACCGTTAACCTGACTTTGACCCTGTCTCCAACCCTTGACCCACACCCTCACTGTGCCCTGTTTCTGTCCTTCTCCCAGGGAGCAGATGGGGCTCAGGGACGCAGGGGACCACCAGGCCTCTTTGGGCAGAAGGGAGATGATGGAGTGAGAGGCTTCGTTGGGGTGATTGGCCCCCCTGGCCTGCAGGTGTGTGTCTGAGTTTGGGGGCGTGGCCTCTTTCCCCACACTCTGTGCTCCAATCTTGCTTCTTTGTTCCACAGGGACTGCCGGGCCCTCCTGGAGAGAAAGGGGAGGTCGGAGATGTAGGGTCCATGGTATGGACGACCTGGGGAAGGTGGGAGGGCACGAGGATAGCAGGGTGGTGGTGACCGTTAGACTGATTTGGAGGTGGTGGTGTCACAGGGCACATTGTCATTTTAAGATGATGCTGGGAACCAGCATTAAGGATGGTGTTTGTGGTTAGTGGTGCCTTTGAGGGGTCATGAGGTCACTGGATGCTATTCTGACTGTCTCACAGGGTCCCCATGGAGCTCCAGGCCCTAGGGGTCCCCATGGCCCCAGTGGATCGGAGGTGAGGACCCTCTGTGGGGGGTGGGCAGGATGCCTGAGAGGTGGGGACATCCATTTCCCACGAAGGGGCTGTTGGGATACTGCAGTCCCACTTCCCCCTTGCTGTCTCTCCAGGGCCCTCCAGGGCTGCCTGGGGGAGTTGGTCAGCCGGGCGCTGTGGGCGAGAAGGTGAGAGAAAGGGGGCAGGGGACTGCCTAGGGTTGGGAAGACACAGCCAGTCTTGGTTGGGAAGACACAGCCAGTCTTGCTTGGGGGTGGCTGTTCTGGGGAGCTCCTTCCTGTCTGTCATAATCAGACCTCTCCTTACGCTCAACTTCGCCTCCTACAGGGTGAGCCAGGGGAGGCTGGAGACCCAGGACCCCCAGGAACCCCAGGCATCCCTGTGAGTGACTGTGTCCTGTGCCCCTGCACCCATCTCAGGGAACCTCTGACCCCTGGGCATCTTGGGGCACCTTGACCCCTGGGCAGACCAGAGTCACCCATTGACCCAGGACCTATGGGTAGCCCCAGTTGTCTTGATGACAGAGCCCTGGAAGGTCTCAGATAGGGCTGCTACACAGAGCTCTTCAGGTTGTACACTGCACAAGGGTGTGGGGCTGAGAGAGGGGGTGGGGGCTCGGATCCAAGCCATACACCCTGAGTTGGGGATGAACTTCCCAGAGGGATCCCCTTTTCTAATTCACTCCAATGTGGCATGTGGGCTAGACCAAACTTGGTCATGATCTCTGAGCACCTGGGCCATCCTTGCCCCTGACTCCTATAAGTCCTAGATCCTGTGACCTCTGACTCTTGGACAGTCTAGGCTACTCTGACCCCTGGCCCCAGGAAGTCCCAGACTACCCAGATTCTTGAGTCCAGGGATGCTGACCCTTGACCCCTGACCCTGGACTCTTGTCTAGGCTATTCTGACCTCCGACCTCTATTTCTACAAAGGGGCCCAAGGGAGAAATTGGTGAAAAGGGGGACTCAGGTCCATCTGGGGCTGCTGGACCCCCAGGCAAGAAAGGCCCCCCTGGAGAGGATGGAGTCAAAGGGAACGTGGTGAGTCCTCGGAGAAGAGGAGGCAGAGATGGGGAGGGGCCTTGACCCTGCTCCCCGACTTCTAGAGCAGGGCTTCCCTCCTCCAACCTGCTGGCCCCTGAGCCACCCAGAACGTGGCTGACAATGACCAAAGGCACGCTTGTATGTCACGGGATGGGGTGGAAGTTGCTCCCACACAGAACCGATCTGGAAATGTTGGCAACAGAGCTGGGGCTGATGTGGGATTTAGCCCCAGGGTGGAGGCTGAGACCGCCCCCCCTCCCCCGGCCACGGCAGTGGGGCTTGGGGTGGCTGGCAGGGCAGTGAGGAGCTCCGGAGTCTGTGGGACCTCAGTTTGCATCTCACCCCTTTTCTGAGGGTCAGTTCTGTTGAGTCGTGGGCTGGGAGACACCTGATGGATGAAGTGAGGTGATGCATGTGATGCCCTTAGGTCACCGCCTACACGCGTCAGACTGTAGAAAGCTCTCTCTCCCAGGGCAGGGATTTTGTGTTTTGTTCACTATGTGTCCTCAGCAGCCCAAGCTGTGCCTGGGCGCTGTTCACCTGTCAGACAAATGCTCGGTAATTCAGAAATGTGATTATTCGTCATTCTGTCTTCCAGGGCCCCACTGGGCTCCCAGGAGATCTAGGCCCCCCCGGAGACCCAGGAGTTTCGGTGTGTGTGAGCCCCCCACTCCCACAATATATTCCTAATTCTGCCCCCATCTCGCCTCCCTCCACAGACTTGGGCAAGGTCAGGGGAGCACATAAGCTTTATGTGTCCCCAAGCTTCACCCCAAACTCGTATTGCCTCCATGACCCCTCCCATCCCCCACAGGGTATAGACGGCTCCCCAGGAGAGAAGGGAGACCCTGGTGATGTTGGGGGACCGGTGAGTGGGGGAGCAAAGCATGTCATGCTGGCAGAGGGGGGTTGGGGCTGGTGAGTGGGTAGACTGGGGGGGCCGGAGGAGTAGGCTGATGAGGTACCCAGGGCCCCCATACAGCACCTGCTTTGCCGCTCTGGGCCGTCACCACGGACGGTGAGCAGCTTAATGGAGGAGGTGGGAGACGGCTGGTGCTGTGGGGATGTCTGGGGAAGGCCGTCCTGGGATCACAGGCATATGACACATAGCCCTGCTCAACCGACGTGAGCTAATACTACCCTGGTACTGTTACATATCCATAGGGTCCGCCTGGAGCTTCTGGGGAGCCTGGCCCCCCTGGGCCCCCCGGCAAGAGGGTAAGTGAGACCTGCCTCCTGGCTGACCTGGCTCCAGCTTTGATCCACTCACCCCCACAGGCCCCCACAGGCCCCGCCCACCTCCACAGGCCCCCTCACCCCCAAAGCATCCCTCCTACACTCTTTCCCTCCTCAGGGTCCTTCAGGCCGCATGGGTCCAGAAGGCAAAGAAGGGGAGAAAGGGGCCAAGGTGAGTACCCCCCCCTGCCCAGGGAGGGTCCCCGTGTTGATCCTCGGCCAACAGATGGGCCATCAGAATGGGTGCCCCAATTCCTTCCCCCTCCCTGATGGTTCTTGGCTGGGAGGCCAGGAGGAAGGAACTGTGTGACACTTCCCGCCCTTCCCTTGCCCTGGTCTGTTTCAGGGGGAGCCAGGTCCCGACGGGCCCCCAGGGATGACGGGCCCAGTGGGGGCTCGAGGGCCCCCTGGACGTGTGGGGCCTGAGGGTCTTCGGGGGATCCCCGGCCCTGTGGTGAGTAGGGTGGGATCAGACCCTCTGTGTGTGACCCACCTTATGCTTTCTAATCACAGCCTGAGGTGGCTGACCCTGGAGGGCGGTGGGGGCATCTACACGGGGTCCGGCCGAGTGCAGCACCCCCACGTTCTGCTTCATCCTAGGGTGAACCAGGCCTCCTGGGACCTCCTGGACTGATGGGCCCTCCTGGACCCCTGGTAAGAGACCTCTTTGTCCCTGGTGTCTCGGCATGGAGAACCACACTGGGCATCCAGTGGCCACCTGGTGCCGTGGGCTCACCCCTCACTGACAGTCCATCTGACCACCTGTACTAACCATCTATCTTGATGGTCTTATCCTGATGGTCTATACCGACCCTCCATCTTGGTGGTTTATACCGACCACAGTGACCATCATGACAAGCCAAACTGACCATCTATGTTGATAGTCAACACTGACCACCCACGGCGATCCTGACCACGGACCATTCATACTGGACCTCTCCAGCCAGCCCTTCATTATCCCTTGTCATCACCCCTCTCTCCTGACCATCCCCATGACCACATCCCTGGTAATTCCCATTTGAAACATGAGTAATTTCCCATTTGACTACCCTCCAATCACCCACATGAACCTTGAGATTTTGTGTTTGAGCCTGACTAACTGAGCCTCACTCTCCTTCCAGGGGCCCTCTGGCCTTCCAGGATTGAAGGGAGATGCTGGCCCCAAGGGGGAAAAAGTAAGGATACCTCCTTCCATTATTCTCCCCCAGTTACCTCTGTCTCCTCCACATTTACCTCCCTCCCTGGCCAGAGGGCTGAGAATTTGGGGTCTCCTCTGCTCCCAACCTCATTACCCCGAGGCTCTAGAAGAAAAATCCTCCAGCAATCCCCCACCATATTTCTTTCCCCGTATGTGCCTCTCTCGTCCTCCAGGGCCACATTGGATTAATTGGCCTCATCGGCCCCCCTGGGGAAGCTGGTGAGAAAGGGGATCAGGGGTTGCCAGGCGTGCAGGGCCCCCCCGGCCCCAAGGGAGAACCCGTGAGTGTGTGTTCTACCCCAAGTGGAAAGAATGTGTTCAGAGGAAGGGGTGGGTGGGGGGGCAGAATTGGGGCTTATTTGGAGACTGTGGGGGTTGGGGGGGCTTCGGGGGTTGGTCTAGAATGATAAGAGTTGTGTCTGGGGAAAATGGCGGGGGGGGGGTGTCTCCATCTAGGGATTTGCGGGTTGGAGGCTGTGTCTGTGGCCTGTTTTTTGAGGGGACTGGAGGCTTGTCTGGGGGATGTGCCTGGATCACAGGGGCGAACCCCATCAGTGATGACCTTGGTGTCCTTTCTTCAGGGTCCCCCCGGTCCTATCGGCTCTCTGGGCCCCCCTGGGCCCCCAGGTGTGGCGGTGAGTAAGAGGGGTTTGTGGGGTGGGGTCACCGTGGTGGGGCAGCTGGGACTCCAGCCCTCCCTGTCTCTACCTCACAGGGTCCTCTGGGACAGAAGGGCTCAAAAGGTTCCCCGGTGAGTATGCACTGCTCCCTCAGGCTCCCACATCCCGGCTTCCCACCCCTTTCAACGTCACCACACCCTCAATCCCTTTGCATTCATTCATTTACTCATTCAATCATGCATTCGACTATTTACTCAACACCTACCGTTGTATTTTTATCAAATCTAAAATGCCACCGATTGTGAGATGCACCATTATTTTAGAAACTACTGTGAAGAAGAAACAGTTCTGACAAGGAAACTATGACTTGCCAAAGATTTGTTAGATTTTGATTTCGGAGATGTTCAAATGTGGAAAGCAAATGAGTGTTTTATAGTTGGGGCTAAAAAATTGCAGTTCCCTCCCCCAGTGCTGTGTGAGTGAGTGAGTGTGTGTGTGTGAGTGTGTGTGTTGGCAGGCAGGGGTCTCCATAGACAGAGTTCACTCCCAAGTGACTTCTCTCTACAGGGATCCTTTGGTCCCCGTGGCGACACTGGCCCCCCTGGGCCCCCTGGCCCTCCGGTAGGTTCCCCAGGGAGTATGTTGGGAGTGTCTGTCCCACTGGGACCCCAAGTGCCCAGAACTGGGTGGGGCACACAGCAGGTGCTCAGGGCACCCAGGTGGGGAGGGAGGTGTCTTGAAAGCTGAGGGAGGATGCCGGCTCTGTTGGAGGGTTTAGGGGAACACCCATGGGGGCTCTGACTGGGTCTTGTCTTGCTTGACTCTGTCTCCCCCACCATCTCTCCCTCCGTCCCTTCCATCTCTTCTGGCCTCTGTCTCTATTTCAAATACTTGTTGACAATTTTGTCTCTGTTTCTTTCTCTCCCTCTGCTTTCTTTACCTCACCTTGCGGATCCCTCCACGGTGTTACTGCTTCGGCCTTTCCCCATCACTGGGTCTTTCTTTCTCTCCCTCCTATGTGTCCCTGTCCGTCTCTGCCTCTCGATGGCCCCCGTCCCTTTTTGATCTCTCTCTCCCTTTTCCTATCTATCCCCACCCCTGTGTCTCTCTGCCTCCCTTGTCTCTCTCATCTTTGCTTGTCTCTCTTTCTGTCTCTTCCTCCCGCATCTCTGCTCTCCCCTCTGCCGTCCCCGCCCCCGCTCAGGGTCCCCCGGCCGAGCTGCACGGGCTGCGCCGCCGGCGGCGGCGGCGGCGGCGCTCTGTGCCCCTGGAGGGCCCGGAGGGCGGCCTGGAGGAGGTGCTGGCCTCGCTCACGTCGCTGAGCTTCGAACTGGAGCAGATGCGGCGCCCTCCCGGCACAGCTGAGCGCCCGGGCCTCGTATGCAGTGAGCTGCACCGCAACCACCCGCACCTGCCGGATGGTGAGGTCCCGCCCCTGCCTGGGCCCCGGGGGCAGGAAGCCGTCGGGTCCCGCCCCCGACTCACTGACCCCACCTGGCTCTGCGGCAGGGGAATACTGGATTGACCCCAACCAGGGCTGTGCGCGGGACGCGCTCAGGGTTTTCTGCAACTTCACGGCTGGAGGAGAGACCTGCCTCTACCCCGACAAGAAGTTTGAGACCGTGAGTGCCTGGGCGGGGTGGGGGCAGGGGGCGCAGGGAGAAAGAGGGCACCGGAAGCCGTCTCACCGGGCCCGCCCTCCCGCCTCCACCAAAGGCTGTCCCCTGCTTCCCCTCCCTGCCCAACACACACGCAGGCTTTGTCTGGGACCTTATCCTAACTTCATCCGACATTTGTTGAGCACCTGCTGTATGCCAAGGCCTGTGAAGGTCTGAAGGTCTGGGACCACAGCCGAGAATCAAACAAAACAAAACTCTGCTTTTATGGAGCTCACCTTCTACGAGAAAATCTAGTGAAGGAAACAATAATGGTGGCAAATCTTTAAATAGTGCTTTGTGTGTGCCAGGCTGTTCTGAGCACTTAGCTGCATCAACACTGAGGCCCAGTTCTGCCATCATCCCCCAGAGAGGGAAACTAAGGCACAGAGAAGTTACCCGAGGATTACCCAAGGCAGGCTCCAGAGTCCCAGCCCTTAACCTCCTATAGGCACTGCCTCCTGATCCGCTGTCTGAGGGGCCTGTGGACTCATTGCCCTCCAGGCTGTGGGCTGGGAGGTGAGACCACCCGGGCCCCCAGGACTACTGGGCTTCTCCATCAGGCTCAGCAGCAGAGGGCAGTGGGCAGGCAGCAGCAACTCTAGAACCCCGGGTTGGGATATAAACTGGGGGGAACAGGGTTTTTTCGTCTGCAAAACGGAGCTCAGGAAGGTATGGACTGGCTGTACAGTTGAGTGCTGATGCAATGTATCAGGAACACTGATTAGACACTGACGATGGGCGGTGCTGTGCTAATGCCTCTGCTGCTGGTAAAGTATGTAGCCAGCACAGAACCTGCAAGAATGCATGGTGATGTCCCTCTTATTTATGATTATTTTTGACTGGCCAGAGCCCTGGTTTAGTGGGAGCTCAACCCTCCGCCTCCCCCGCACCCTTACACACTAGTGGATGGGAATACAGACAAGCTCAGACCCCGAGGTCACGTAGGATTTGATCTCTAAACAGTTGCTGGTATCTGAGCCTCTCCCTCCAGCTCAGCTTCCTCCGGCCCAGAGGTGTTGGGGAGGGGTGTGAAGACTGATCCAGGTTTGGGTTCCTCAGACACAGACCGTGAGACAAAGACTTGAGAGCGAGTCATTTATTTGGGAGGAGACCGCAGGAGGCACCAGGAGAGGAGGGAGGAAGTGAGAGGGGACTGGGGGAGGCAGCCGATGAGGGTTAAAATGTCACCATTGGGCACTGAAAGCTCAGTTCCACTGGGAGACTTCTGGGAGATGGTGTGGAACAGGCACGTGGGGGAGGGAGAGGGAGCTGAGCATTTATCCATCCATTCTTGTCATTGGTGGAGAGCTGCCTCAGAGGGCAGGGACTCCCAACCCCATGGTCTGCCCTGTGCACCGGCCAAGCCAACTCCCATGGCCAGAGAACAACAACAGCTCAAGGGTCCGGGGTATACAGTCTGCAACTTTCAGTGCTGGGAGGTAAATACAGGAAGACATGGCCGGCACCCAGGCCATCTACACTGACTACCCCCTCCCATCCCCAGGTGAAAATGGCCTCCTGGTCCAAGGAAAAGCCGGGAAACTGGTACAGCACATTCCGTCGAGGGAAGAAGGTGAGCGGCTGGAGACCGAGGTGGGGGATGTTATGAAAACTGGTGGGAACTGGCATGGGGAGTTGGAGGAGGGGCTCTGAGGGATGAGAGGAACAGGGCAGACTCACCTCTGCCTTCATGGTGATTGCAGGCTTGGTAGGGGTAGCAGACTGGGGGCGGGGGAGGGTGTGTGGAGCGTCAGATGTGAATGGAGGAAGCCCAGGGTATGGTGGAAATCCAGAGGCAGTGCTGCAAGTCCCAGAGGCGTCCTGGTAGCAGTCACAGATCAACTGAGGCCTAAAGAATGAGCTGGGTTAGCAAGTTAGGGAGGACAAGGAAAAGTGTTCCAGGCAGAGGGAACAGCATACACAAAGGTCCAGAGTTAAAAGAGGGTCTGGGGAATTGAAAGAAAAAGCCACTCGCCCTGCTCTAGAAAGTGTGAAGGGGAATGTGGTAAGAAAGGAGGCTGGGGAGGTAGGTGAGGGCTAGGCCCACCTCCCCAGAAAGACCTGTGAGCAGCAGGGAGCCATGGAATGTGTTTCAGTGAGGGAAGGACCCAAATCTAACCTCTCAGTTAGAAAAATGCTTCCGGGGCAGGTGGGGAGGGGGCGGTGACTGGCATGTTGGCCCAAGGGAGTGAAGAGGTGGCCCAGGCTGGAGCTGGTGCTGTGAGGGTGGGGAGGAGGGCATGGCTTGGAAAATCTAAGAGAGAGGCCAATAGGACCTAGTCACTGATGAAATGGAAGGGAGGGAGGAGAAGGTTGGTGGGCTGGTGTCTGGTGACATTCTGAGATATGTAGATGAGAAGAACAGGTTTAATGGGTGGGGGGATTTGGGGTTCAGCTTGGGAACTGTTTACATGACATACGTGTATCTGCCAAGCACTGGGAATGTAGCAGCAAATAATAAACACAGTTCCTGACTTCATGAAGTTGATACTCTACCGGGAGCATAACCAAGGAAGCGGGCAGACAGAAACCCAAGAAACAAAGCTATAATATAACGTGGGGGTATCTTGGTTTGGGTTCCCCCCAAAACAGACCCTTCCACACAGACTCAGTTGCAAGTACTTTATCTGGGAGGTGATTCCAGAAAACATCGGTAGGGGCACATGGAAATGATACAGAGATGAGAAGGAGGCCAGAAGGGACGTATTACCCAGCAGGCTATCTCAGGCCCGTGATATGTTAATAATATATTTTATTTGACCCAGTGCATCTAAAATAGTGTCATATCAATATAAAGGTTACTGAGGCATTTAAAATTTCTCCCCTACGAGTTCTGCAGAGTCTGACCCATATTTTACGTTTATAGCACATCGTAATTTGGGCACTAAATTTCATTGGAGGTTCTTGATCCATACTTAGATTTCATAAAATCTGCCTTTGAAAAAGGAGATTCGCATACTCGAGTTGTTCCACACCTAAGTTCTCTGATACCTGGATGGAGGCTCAGTTATTATTATGAATTAAAGTAAAAGCATAAATACAAATTTTTAATTAAACAGTTAAGTAACATGGTTGAAAGTTTCCATCTGATTGGCCACATTTCAAGTGCTCAGTACCCATGTGCGCCCGGGGGGCTCACAGGGGAACCGTGGGGGGCTGGATGGCGGGTAAGGCCACCCCCAAAAAAGGGGATCTGGCAGAGGTCGTGGGTCTGCCAGGGGATGGAGAGCCTGGGAGGGAGGTTCCGCAGAAGGAGTAGGGGTGACTGGGGGCACCCTCACCTCCTGCTTTGTCCCACCCCCAGTTCTCCTACGTGGACGCTGACGGGTCTCCGGTGAACGTGGTGCAGATGACTTTCCTGAAGTTGCTGAGTGCCACAGCCCGCCAGAGCTTCACCTACTCCTGCCAGAACTCTGCCGCCTGGCTGGACGAAGCTGCAGGCGACTACGGCCGCTCCCTCCGCTTCCTCGGGGCCAACGGGGAAGAGGTGTCCTTCAACCAGACGACAGCAGCCACCATCGCTGTCCCCTACGATGGCTGCCGGGTAAGGGGAAGGGCAGGGGCCGGCCAGAGTGGGGAGAGGCTTTGGCTGCCCTCCTGCTAACTCACCGTTCTGTCTTCCCAGCTCCGCAAGGGACAGACGAAGACCCTCTTGGAGTTCAGCTCTTCCCAAGTGGGGTTTCTGCCTCTGTGGGACGTGGCAGCTACTGACTTTGGCCAGACGAACCAGAAGTTTGGGTTTGAACTGGGCCCTGTCTGCTTTAGCAGCTGAGAGTCTTGGGGTGGGAGGGATAATGAGGGAGCCCCAGACGGGGCACTTTTGGTGCTGAGGCTTTGAAGCCACCCTATTTATCGTGTCCTGTGACTGTGGAGCCAGGGGAGGGTCTGCTCATCACGGTCAAGCAGTCTTCCTTCTCCGTTCCAGGGGGCCGGGGGCTGCACTCCCCTGGCTCAAGTCTAGCCTCCCTTCACTGCACCACAGCTGACATACTGTAGTCTGGCTCTGCCTGCCTGCCCAGCCCTCAGCTCCCCACCCCCGAGGCCCCCTGCAATGAACTTCTAACTCAGAGCTGATGAATGCCCCCCCATGCCTGCCTCCCCACTCCTCGGTCAGTGCCCCCAACACCTGGTGGTGCTCCCCTTCCCAGTAGTTAAGCACTGGATGCCTCCTGATCCCAGGCTGGGACCCCTTCGCTCACTCCTATTTTCAGGTGGGTTCACAGTGAAGGGGCTGAAGTCAGGCTACAGAGGGGAGAGTGGGGCTTCCCCGGACTGAGCTGGGTGCTCCTTCCACTGCCTCAGCCCAGCTCTGAGCACTGCCCGCACCCATATCTCCCTGAACGCACCTTGCCATGCCAGGTGGTGGGGGAGCCAAGATGGTGGGGGTGAGTCAGGATCCTAATGGTGCTGCCCTATTTATACCTGGGTCTGTATTAAAAGGGAAAATCCCCTCTGTTGTATATTTAATCTGCTTCCTCCTTTAGGGAAGGCTGGGATATGATGAGAGAGATTCTAGCATGATCCCCACCCCTCCGGGGCCATAGGGCATATTTGGCATCTCAAGTCTGAGAATAAACCAGTGAACTGTGTCCCTGTGTCTTTCATCTAGTGCTGCCTATATCTTTCTTAAGGTCAGGCTCTTGTCTCACCTGAGGTTATCTGCCACCACCTGTCTTAATAGTGTCTTTTGGTAGAGGTGGCTTTGGGAGGTGGGGGAAACCAATTATAACGGTACTCACCGGAGACGATGGGTCTGTTTACCATTTCAGAACCCTAGAAGAAGAGTAAAAAATCACCAGATCTCTAAGAGAGATCTTAAATGTTTTCAGCACACAAAAAAGAAATTTTAATTATGTGTTGTGGTGCCATTGTTAGCTAATGCTACGGTTGTGATCAGCATACAAGTGTATCAAATCAACAGGTTGTATGCTTAGACTTAGACAATGTCATATGTCAATTCTATGTCAATAAAGCTGGAAAAAAAATGTGAACCTATTAGGAATACACCAAACTTTGAGAGAGAGAGAGAGAGAGAGAGAGAGAGAGAGAGAGAATAGCTAGATCTTTCTGTTGATCTTGGTTAGTCCTGGAGTCATTGGCTGAGCTGAGGGTGAGGGAATGGATCAAGAGGTGACATGGGATGTGTTTTGGGTTTGAGATGAAATGACTAGAAGTCAAAGATCTGGGTGGCGAGTCAGGAGATGAGTTGGGGGGAGAGAGAATTGAGTTACAAGTTGAGCCTCGGGGTGAGTTGGGTGTTAGAGGGTAGAAGTTGGTCGAGTTATGTTGAAAATGGCTTGAAGATGAGTCATTGGAGGCTGCTTTGGAGTCAGTTGAGTGCGTTTGCGGTGGAGTAATGATGGGATCTGCTGAACTGGAGGTTGGGAAATCAGTGGATTGAGGTAAAGGTCTGGAGTTGGAGGTTGGACTGACGTGAATTAGGGTTGATGTGGGAGGTAGGATGAACGGAGTAGAACTAAGTAGGGGTTGCTATGAATGGGGAGTGAGGATTGACAGTTTGGCAAGTCAAGATGGCATCAGTTAAGATCTGAGTTGGGTTTGAGGCAGCTTGAATTGGACGTTAGATGTTGGGCTGAGGTTTTTTAAAGTAGATTTATTGAGATGTAATTCATTTACCATATAATTCACCCATTTAAGGTATACAATTAAATGGTTTTTAGTACATTCACAGACTTGTGCAACCATCACCACAATCAATTTTAGAAGCTTTCATCACCTCAAAAAGAAATCCCATATCCATTAGCAGTCACTTTCCATTTCCCCCAAACCTTTCAGTGGTAGGCAACCACTAATCTTTCTGTCCCTATGGATTTGCCCATTCTGGGCATTTCATAAATGGAATCATGTAATATGTGGCCCTTTGGGTCTGAGTACTTCATTCCTGTTTATTGCTGAATAATATTCCATTGTCTGGAATTTTTCCATTGTCTGAAACAATTCCATTGTTTATCCATTCATCGGTTGCTGGACATTGCCCAATTGAGTGCCAAATTGGAGTGATGGAGGGCTGGTGTAGTTGAGTTGGGTCAGGTGGGATTGGGTAGGTATAGGTTTCAGGTTGGGGTGAATGGTCTCCCTCAAAGTCAGGGCTTACCCTACCACCTCTGCCACCAGGCCCCACAAGGCCCCCTGAATGCTTGCCCTGGATTCCCTCATGCATTCAATAAATATTACTGGATTGTAACTCTATGAAGAATGTTGGGGCTCAGAGGTTGATTGATGAGTTCACTCATTCATTCATTTACTTAGTTGCTTGTTTTATTGTCTTGACTATTTACTCGGTGCCAGGCACTGTTCCAAATGCTGGGGTAGAAGAGAGATGTGGGGATCTTACTCCTGAGGGAGACGGGCTAGACAGACATACAGCAATGTAATGTGATTTCAGGAAAATCAAACAAGTTACAGCGTGATGGAGTTGTGTAAATTTGAGATGAGGTGGTCACAGGAGAGACCTCACTGAAGAGGTAATATTTGAGCACAGAGACCTGAAGGATGAGGGGGAAAGCCATGTGAAATTTGGGGAAGTATCCCCACACACAGAGAAGAACCCAGAAACCCTCAAAAACGAATGAAGACTCTTGAGGAGATGGCGTTTCCCTTGGTCCCCTCTTCTCCCAATTTGTTGCTTTTGCTGATTTTTCCACACTGTTCTATCAACCCCACTGTGCACCCAGGCCTGCTTCCCATTTATTTCCTCTTCCAAACCTCCTTAACTCAAGAATGCATATGGTAACACCAATGCTATGTGTTTTCCTCTTCCTGAGAATCCCTAATTGAGAACACATTTCCCAGCTTGCCTTGCAGTTAGGTTGGGGCACGTGCCTGGGTCTTGGCCAGTAGGATGTGGGTAACCATACCACCTCCTGCTTGATCCCCTGAGCTCTTTCAGTCCGTGATGGCCTCGGAGATCACATCTGTAAGTAAGAGGAGGGTCTCCTATGGAACCAGAAAGAAAGGAGCCACCCTCCCTGAGATACTGCTTGCAGGAATACTACGAGGAGAGGTCCATCAATAACTTGATTGCGTTAGGCCCTGGAGATGTTGAAGGGTTGCTTATTACAGCAGCTATTATTAATTATCCTGATGAACCCAGCAAAGGAATCCAACTTTTACTAAAGGTCAGCATGGAAGCGTGCGTGCACACTGGGAGGTCCCATTGCAACAAGGTCAACAACTTAGAATTTAATATGCAATATCTTTGTTCTTGAAAGTCCCCCCACTGTAAATTTGTCACAGCTAGTATGTCCCCCCCCCCCCCGCCTGGATTTCCCACAATTCTGCTGCCTTCTGCCATCTTTCCCTCCCTGACACCTCGCTTGTCTACCCTCTTCACTCTGTTCCTCTAAGGCTGCTACACTTAGATCAAATTTATCTCACCTTCTGGGGCACCTGGGTGGCTCAGTCGGTTAAGCATCCAACTCTTGATTTTGGCTCAGGTCGTGATCCCAGGGTCGTGGGATCGAGCCCCACGTCCGGCTCCATGCTGGGCATGGAACCTGCTTGAGATTCTCTCTCTCCCTCTGCCCCTCTCCCTCTGCACTCTTTCTCTCTCTCAAAAAAAAAATTTTTTTTTAAATCTCACTTTCTTACAAAGAACCATTCACAACATTTCTTGCAGACCACATCTTCACACCCACGCAATCCATGCTTAGCTCAACCAACACTGTTAATAATAAATGACCACTGATCGAGTATCTACATGCCAGGCAGCATTCATCAAATGTTTCCCCTGGATGAATTTATATATTTTCTTTTTTTTTTTTTAATTTTTTTTTTCCAACGTTTATTTA